TGTCTGGCTTCTTTCACTTAGCATGTTTTGGGGTTCATCCATTTGTTGCAGGGATCACTAGTCCTTTTGAAAACTGCTGGGCAGTATCCCATGGCATGGATAGAAGACATTTGTTTATACATTTACCAGTTGATGGACATCTCAATTGTCTCCTGTCTTCGACCGCAGTGAAGAATGCTGCTATAAATATTTGCATATAAGTCTGAATGGACATGTATTTTTATCTCTTTTGTGTAGATACCTAGAAATAGAATTTGCTGGATTACTTTTAACCATTCTAATCATATCAATTTCTCATTGTGGTTCTAGTTTGCATTTCCCTAACGTTGAGCATCTTTTCATGCCCGTATTATATTCATCCATATATCTTCTTTGGGGAAGTGTCTTATTTGGGGGTTCTACATTTGGTGACTTGCTTGAAGGACTCAGTGACCCCATAGGCAGTTACACCAGGGCAATGGTTGTTATGGTGAAAGGACACACAGCAGGGAAAAGACACAGCAGGTTTTAGAATCTGGAGGAGTCCAGGTGCAGGCTTTCAGAGTTTTTGCTCCTTGGGGGACGGTTCACACAGAACATGCTTCTTCCTCCAGCGGTAAATGCAGCAACAGTGTGCATTGTCTCTGCCCAGGGGGGCCTGCTGGACACTCTGAGTCCAGGGTTTTCTCCTGGGCTGGTGAGGTGGGCACTCTTCTGTCACAGGACCCACTGTGGTTACTGCAATGCCAAACTCCTGGAAGGAAAGCGAGTATTCACCATAAACCACATTGTTTGTTCAAACAGTCTAGGCCAGCTGCTGCAGCGGGATTCAGTGTCCCAGGAAGACAAAACAGCCTTATCAGTTAGAAACACAGGGAACATTCCAAAGCCAAGTTTTCAGATGCCAGGCAGGGACCAGCCCCAGAAGGAAACACTTCTACAGATCAGTGGGCCTGCTGTGTCAGCCCTCTCCTGCACAGGTCTAGCCACACCTTCTGATCGTTTTGTAAATTGGGTTGTTAGTCTAATTTTTGTTGCCAGGGTTCTTTGCATATCTTGGATATGTCATTTATCAGATAGACTTTTTTGCAAATGTTTTCTCCCAGTCTATGGCTTGTCTTTCCCTTTTCTTAATGGTGTCCCTTGGAGGGAGTTTGGGAAGGGAACTGATATGACCATATGGTGCACACAGACAACTGCTCTGGCTCCTGTGTGGAGAATGGGGTGCAGGGGCCAGGAGTGGACTGGGGAATCCTGTTAGGAGGCTGCTGCGGGGGTCCAGGTGAGAAAGCTGATGGCGGTTTGGACGGGGAGGTGACGGGGGGAAGCAGTTGCGTATGAGGGATGTGTGGAAGGTCGGACTAAGACTGACAGGGCGTGCAAAACGCACATCGCAGATTGCCAACAGGAGAAAGACAGGTAGGGCTCCCCAAAGTTGTCCACAGAACACATTATTATTGTTTTTAGTAGGGAAACTCCTATCCATTTGTGGGATTTGTGTGTTTGGTAATTTGGAAATGTGGGACCAGATGAACTTTAGGGTCCCCCTTAGTCCTCACAGTCTATGGTGCCACAAATAATCTGTTTTGAGGTTATTTTAACAATATTAAAATATTCTGAGGCACATGTCTAGGTGTTATTATGGGTTGTTTATTAGTCATACATGTATATCCATAATGCCAAGTTTTGGTCCAAGAAAATAGCTTCATGACTGAAACCGAACACAATCTATGCATGAAGACCCTTCCAAAAAGGGAGGGCAGAAACACTGTTAGCACAGAAAGTACGAGGATGGGGATGAGGAAACTCATATTCATGTATTAACCCAATTACCAAACGCACCTGCACATCCAGAGCGCTGGCGGTTTGACGTGGGATCTCACATCGCTCTGTCCCAAGTGACACAGACGGTATTATAAATGAAAAATCCTTCCCCCAGGCTAGGATACAGAGCTCCTCTCATTTGGGCAGCATCTGCTATCACAGAAGAACCTTTATTTAAGGCTGGAAATTCTATTTACCCAGGAGCCCAAACCACTGTTTTTCTGTTCTTGCAAAATAAACAAAACACCCTGCAAAGCAGATTCAGAGAAGACCTGAGGGAATGGAAAGGAAAGTGAAATCAGGTATGCAGGTCCGTGTCAATGCAATAAATCAGGAGCGCAGCAGCGATACGTATGTTCTCCTCGATATTAAAAAGGGAGGCTACATGTATCAGTGAGACAAAGTGAGAGCACAGAAATTGAGATATATAATATTTTATTTATATATATTTTTAATAGAGTAGGTTTTGTTGTGGTGTTGTTTATTTTGAAAGAGACAATGTAAAGGCTCAGAAACTGATGTTTTGCCTGGTGGGAGCTGCAGGATACAGACATGGATCAGGAAGACAAAGGCATCACCTCCAAGCCTAGTTGGGCCTGGTGCCCTGAGCCTACGGAAAGCATGGACAGGAGACAGTAGCATTCAAGGACACCTGCTGCCAGATGCACGATGCAATCATCTACCCCTCCTCAAGGAGGTGCCGCTGAATCTGGCTCATCATGCTGCCCATTCTGCCCCCTCTGCCTCAGGGCCTTTGTACGTGCTGCTCCTTCTTTCTGAAAGCATGTTGTCTCCACCCATCCCCACGTCTTGTGAATTCATCCTGCAGGTCTCAAATCCACTGTCACTTCCCTGCTGTCTACACTGTCATCAGGGCGAATCCATTTTATGGAGTCTAAACCTTGTACAATTTTGAGGGTCCTTTTCCAGAAAAAGAATAGAAATTACAAATTTTAAATGAGATACTCACATAATTAGGGCCCTTCTGGGGCATTGGAAAGGGCCTGGGCGAGTGAGGGGCTGAGGCTTAGGCTTCACTAGCTTTGCAGTGAACCTGCTGCCTCCGGCTGTCGGTCTGCACGGTGCATTTGCCTCCAGAGCCCTCAGCACAGCTTGAATCCCACGTGCGCTCGCATGATCATTTGGTTCCTGTCCACCCCCCACTGCACCATAAGCTCCTTGAGGGGTAGAGACTGTGTCTTTTTTGCTCACCATTGCACCCCAGTGTTGAGTCCAGTGCCTGGCACAAGAGAGGCTCTCAGTAAATATGATTTGAATAAATAAAACCTGAATTTTAAATAGTAATAATAATAATAGTAATAAAAATACTAGCTCCCACTCATTGCAAGTCTCCACTTGCCAGGCCCTGGATGTCAGCACAGAGGGTCAGAGTATATCGAATCCTCAGCTTGTAAAAACGTAGACGAGAAAGCCACTAGGTGTACTTGGAACAAAAAGCCGGGGCGGGGGTATCTATGAGTCATGGATGTGGCTTCTAATTCCTACTGTGGACGGCACTGTGTCCCCGCAGTCCCGCTACTCTACTCTACTCTAAAGCTGCTGCTTCCTGATTTCCCCTACTGGGAAACAGGGAACCCTGCTCATATACACACTCCTCACAGCCACATCCTTGCACCAGTGAGATTTATAACCACCCGGGTGATTATTATCTGCCAATGTCTTGGGGCATTTTTGATGTCACAATTAGGGGGTACTACCAGATCCAGCGGACAGAGCCAGGGACGCTGCTCAGCATCCTAAATGCACAGAACAGCCCTGCAGCCCAGAACGTCAGTGCTGCCGAGGCTGAGAAACCCTGCCGTAAACCCGCAGGCTCCCCCTCTGTCACTTCTTCTGGACACGACAACTGTCTGAGGGAGTGTTTTTTCTTCTCTGCCCCACACCGAAAAATGGGGCAATGTTGCTTTGCGGATAAGGGAGAAGATATTTACTGGAGTAAATATCATGGAATTTCAATCATATATTCCGTTTATTAAAAATACAGCTAATACTTGTCATGGGCACTGTTCTAGGCCAATGAATCGTGTTGAAAGGCTGATTCTGAGTCAGTAGGTCCGGGTGGGGCCTGAGAGTCGGCCATTCTTCCTGGCTCCCAGGGGAGGCCAACACTGCTGGCCTGGGACTGCACTTTGAGTAACACTTTTCTAGGTACTTGGGACACATCGGCGAACAAAACCAAGATGCCCTGAGCTTGAGGAGCTTCCAGTCTGGCTAGAAGTGTACTGGACCCAAAGAAGGCTACATAGGTGGAAGTGAGAGGCACTCAAGAGTCTTAGAAAATCAGAGCTAAAAGGGAATTTGCACCCATTAGGTAGGTTTTCGCCCATTGCCTCCTCCCCCTTTCCCCCCATAGTATTTTGAATTAAAAAAAAAGACAGTTTGGCGGATGTCTAATCAAACCCCCCATTTGAGAGGCAAGGGAAACGAGGCTCACAGCGGGGAAGGGAGTTAACGGAAGGCACACAGCTTGCTGTGGCAGCTTTTGGACAAGGCTGTCTGATTCCTCTTCTGAATTATCAGGGTCCTCGGGGACCTCTTGGAGGGCAGAGCTCAATCAGAGTAGGGAATGGCTGGCAGCTTTAGTGATCGCAGGGACGGAAGTCTGGGGACCTACCCACACAGGAGGGTCCCACCGCTCTGGACCCAGGAAACTCTGATTTTCTACTCCACTCGTCTATTTCACGACACACATGTGAACACTGGGATATTTGGGGGCAGGTATTAGATTCTTTCCAACTGCTCTTTGTTTTTCTGCATGACTAAATCTGTAGCAAGGATGAACCAGAGTCAAACTATGGGGAAGTAAGTTCTGAATGTGTTCAGTCATGTGGCCAACAAGTGTAAAGAGTCAACTCAAACAGAATGAGGCCAGTCACAACCTTTTCTAATCTGGGAGTGGAATGACAGATCCTGAACACACGTGAGCCTCCTGTTCTCAGCTTTCAGGGCCCACCTGAAAAGATCTATTGACCCAGAGCTTTCAATTAAACACTCATTTGCATGGCACTGAAAAGCAATTATTTCCTCCACTCCTACTACCTGGGAACACACTTTTAAATTCATACCAGTTTGATTGGAACGGTAGCAAATTTCACGGAGTAGCTAAAAAGAAGGGCAACAGCTGGCACATCAGTCATTAATAATATAACGAAGAAAAAAGAGAAACTTTTCATTAGTACTTTTTGATGTCAATTTATTATTTTTCCCTTTGCCAATATTCAAACGGGCAGGCAGTCATAAAACATTCAAAAACATCCTTTACAATAGGCATCTGTTTGACCTCAGTTCCTTTTTAGAAACTTGGAGATCAGGAACCCTGACATTATGGTATAGCAGTGTCAAAAATACTTGTTACATCAAAAATATTGCTTGAGGGTCACTACTTAGAACAAGTTTAGTTTAAATTTCATGAAAGGCCAGTAGGCTGTCAGACAATGGTTTGTAAGGGAAAATTCAATATAAATCAGCCATGTGCTATTTCCAAATTTTTGACTCCTCAGTTAGTATTCTGTTAGAAACGAGAGCGTTGACAAAGCCTACTGTTCAGTAATTAGCATCCTGTCAAATCTCTCCAATCAAGACCAGCTCACTGCATCTGCCTAGTTAAAAAAATGCATTGTGGGCAATTCTGGTCTGACCTTCAGGGGCCCCTGCCATGCTCAGAACTGCATTCAGTGTGCACACCATAATTACCATTTACACAAAATAAGAAGGCCTCCTCATTCAGCAGTTCTGAGAGACTTTGCCTAATCTTAATGACCTGCCACACCATTTTAACTTCTTTGATAAATGTCCATCTTTGTGATGTACCCATTCCCTGCCCCCATAATAAGATATCTCTTCCTGAGACAGACGACTCCTCAGAAGTAAAATCATTGTAGAAATAAAACAAATGAAAAATGGAAAAGCGAAAATCAAAGCAAAACAAAAACCTGAACTGCCTTCTCCCCGGCAGGAGACTGGTGGGGGAGGAGTGGGCGGCCCGCACGCTGAGTCTCTCCCTAGCTTGTTTTTCCTTCGTTGCTCTGGGTTCTTTTGCCTTCCCAGGAACTGTTCTTGGAGTAGAGGTTGTGGTCCTTGATGTAGGCGATGACACTGTCAGGGAGCAGGTACTTGACGCTCTGCCCTTGGCCCAGGGCTCGCCTGATGTAGGTGGCGCTGATCTCGTTCTGCACAGGCTCCCGGGCTAGGTGGATGTTGTGCTGGTACCTCCGCAGGATGGGCGATTCCAAGACGTATCCCTTTGCGTCGTGACCCGCCCGGCCCACGCACACCAAGCCAAACTTCTCCACTATTTCCTGGATGTGAGCCTCCCTCCAGAGGTTGGGGGTGCGGAAGGTATTCAGGACGTCTGCCCCGCAGAGGAGCTTCAGCTCAGGCACAGCTGCAGAAACAAGGGTGGACCCGGCAAAGTTACAGAAGGGTCACTGCCAGGAAAGATAACGTCATATTCCACTGGAAAAATCTCACAAAACGCTTTTCGTGGAATGTATTGAGAACTCAATGTCCCCCGCTCATGACTTAGAAAGAAAAAAGCACGTAAACGAATCTGAAGCGATTTCAGGGAATACAATTGAAAGTAATGATTTAATCAATACACTGTTTGTTTAATATCAGCAAAGTGCCAAGTAATACAGAAGAGATTTTTTTTTTTTCTTTTCAGTGTTGTAACAGAAGTCTGTCTGTGGTCGGTTGCTTTGAATCACGCAGAGGGCTCCCAAGATGGCTTTGCTATACTCAGAACCACATCTTCTGATGGAAGGTAAGGTGCTTAAAGCCCTGTCACCAACAAGTCGTGGGCCTTGGACAAGTCTCAGCCCTATCTGAAATCCATTTCTGCCCCGGGGTTACTAGCTACTAGTACCTGGTACTTTTATACAAAAGCCTCATCATAGAAATTAGAGACTCTTCGGATAACTGAAAGGTCTCTAAGACTCCAGCTGGTGGTCT